TGGGATTTTGAGTGGAATTTTATTGAATTGTGTAGATCGGCTTGGGGAAAAATGAAAGTTTTGTATAGCCTTGCAGTATTCCAACTTGTAGTTTACCTCTGCATTTATTTGAGTCATTTTTAATTTTTGTTTTTTAAAAATTTTTATTTATTTTTTTAAGATTTATTTATTTGTATACAAGAACAGGGGTACAGGCCAGATGTGGGGTGAGGGGGGGGTTGAGAGGGTTCACCAGAGACAGAGTGGGGAACAGAACAGGCAGACTGACTGAAACACACTGCTGAGGGGAGCAGCGGGCGAGACAGGAGAGGTCTGCCGCACCATGTGGGTATCTCCCTGCCGATGGGGAATCTAACCTGTGCTGCAGAGGCTGCAGACAGCGTCACAGCACTGTGCTCAGCCACCGGCGCCACCAGGGAGGCCCCTAATTTTTAAAAATTGCCTCAAAGCTTTTTGAGTTAGATATTCTGGCTAGATTTATTCCTAGGTGTTTATTTTATGTAATTAGAAAAGGAAACAAAATTTCCATTTTGACTTGTTGGGATAGAAATGAAATTGGTGTTTTTGTATATTGACTTTATAATAGTCTTGCAGCTTACTTCCTAATTTTATATTAACTTGTAGATTTTCTACTTACATTTTCCATTAATAAGACAACTTTGCTTTTATTTTGTGTTATAACTTAATTTTTTTCATGCTGTAAAGCATTAGCTAGGACCTCAGATGCAGAGCTGAAGAGAAGTTGTAGTGTGTTGTTCCCCATGTCGAAGAGAGCTTCCTGCATGACATTATCAAGTGTGATGCTTGTGATGCTTGGAGACTGGGGCTGATTCTGCCTTTTGGCTTGTGTGAATAGGAACATGGGTGTACAAATGTTTGCTGGGATCCCAGCTTTTACTTCTTTTGGGTATATGCCCAGAAGTACAATTACCCAATCATATGGTAATTAATTCTGCTTAAATTTTTGAGGAATTGCCATGCCATTTACTACAACAGTGGCACCCTATTACATTCTGCCAACATTGTATAAGAGTTTCAATTTCTCAATATTCTCACTGTCGTTGTTGTTATTTTCTTTTTGGTTTTTTTTTTGATAGTAGTGATTGGAATGGGTGTCAGCTCTTGCTTTTTAGCTAGTCACTGACCGCTCCTTTTAGCACTCATTTAAACTAATATTAGTTCTTCTCTCTTAACTCTCTTCTTCTGGATTTTTCCATCCTTTTGCTTTTCCATGCTTTTCCATCCTGTGCTTCAGTCTGTATTTTTCCTTCAGGTTGGGTTCCTGTTGTTTAATTCTCTCTTTATCTATGTTCAGTGTGCTTTTAAAGCCTATTCGTTGAATACTTAATATTGGATATTGGTTCTTTTAAAAATATGTCAATTTTCAAAAGTTGTCATGTCCTCCCTCCCCCACACCCCGTTTTAGTTGTGTTATATACATAGTAAGAATTGTTGTTTTACCGTGTGTGTTATTCTGATATCTGTAGTTCTTCTGGGTCTTGTTTCTGCTAGTTTTTATTTATTTTGCTCTGTGTGCCTGGTTCTCCTTAGTCATGTGGTGGACATTGTATTTGAAAATTGTTTACAGAAATAAATGAAGACTAGGGTAGGATGATGTACCCTCTGTCCAGAAATGGTTAGGGTTTTTATCTGCCATGGGCTTTCGGGCACCAGTTATCAAAGGTCACTTCCATCAGACATCAAGGATCGGTATTTTTCTTGACCACCTAAATTCTTGGAAACTGGCCTATGGTCTGTCTGAAGAATGCTTTATTTCCAGTTCACTGTCCTATAGCCATTTCGATCATCAGCCTAAGTTGTTGGGCATTACCCTATAATCTTTGAGCACTTTGCAATCTAACTGTTGTTTTCCTCACCCCTAGTGGTTATCAAAAGCAATATTCATTGTTCTGGTTGCCCCTTCTGGGTATATTTATGGTACCAGGGCAAAAGTGGCCCCTGTGTTGCAGGCTCATCCCTGTGGATTTTAGTCTTCTTATGTTTTGTGACCTACTGGTTGATTTGTGCTTTCTTAGTTCTCGGATACTTGCAAGCAGGTGTTCTTTTACACTTAGTCAGCGTTTTTAGTTGTTTTCGCATGCGGGTTGTAGGTAAGGGGAACTGTTACACCTTGAGAACGCACCTGTTCAAACTCATTCCTAACTACTCAAGTCAGGGCTTAGTGATGCCCTATCATGTACCTAGTATTATACTCTTCATCATGGAAATTTTGAGGATATTGAAGTAGTTTCGCTTGGAAGCATACAATCAGAAAATAATGGGGAAGTTGGAAGAAAATAATCGGAATATTTCTCAAGGTTAGTGCAGGGTTAATCACTTAGTATAACTACAGGCAGTAAGTGTTGGTGTGAGCCTGACGTCTTCCTGCTTACACCTGCCTCTCCCTTCAGGCCGTCTTCCCATGTGCTCATAGGGTCTTGTCTAAAAGCGCCAGCTCCCCTGAGTTCCCCTTTCACTGATTGTAGCTCTTCAGCACCTTCCCTACCGTGTTCAGGAACCTCCCGATGACTTCTCAGCCTTCCGCTGCTTGCGGGCAGCTGCCACACTTGCACCTTTGCATGCCCTCTCCCCCGTGGGGCTGCTTTTCTTCGGTGTGAGGCTACCATTTCCAGATTTAGCCTCATGCAGTGTTATCTTTGATGGGGAGATGTCTCTGACAGTAATCATTGGGCTCCCCAGGACCACTCACCAGCACCTGTTGCCCATGCTGATGGCAGCCCCTGTGATCTGGCGATCAGAGCTGGCGCCCAGCGCGGGTCAATTAACAGCATGCACTGGACCCTCCGTGAGATACTTGTTGGCATCTCCCCCATTTCCACGTGAGGAAACACAGGGAAGCTTTCTTCATTCATCCCCTTCTCTAGTAGGGAACTGGAAACACAGAAGTCCTGAGGAGTGAAGAGAAACGTTCCTGGCCTACGATTCCCTTCCTTGCCCCTGGGGTTGTGACCATGGAGTGCCCTCTGCTTCCCCAAGTCCAGTTGTTTATCCCGCTCTGAAGGTGCCTGGGGCTGTGTCTTTTCTCTCCAGCTGGCACTCTTGGCCTATTCTGTGCTATTTTTCTGGGGCTTAGCTGCACCTGCCAACCTAGTCTTGGGGAATCGCTGGGCTCTGTGGTCTACTGTGGGAGATTTTTTGAGACTTCACTTAGTGGTTATCTATGTCCTTTATTTGTCCCAGGATCCCACCAGGATCACACACTGCATTTCACTGTCATGTCTCCCTAGGCTCTTGAGGGCTGGGGCAGTTTCTGACTTTGCTTTTGATGACTCAGTTTCGAGGAGTATTGGCAGATATTTTGTAGGCTGTCCCTCTATTAGAATTTGATGTTTTTCTCATGGTTAGACTGGGCTTATGGGTTTTGAGACAGTAAGTTTAATCACATCACATCAATTGTACATTCTGTCAACATGATTTACCATTGATGTTGACCTTGATCGCCTGGCTGCAGTAATGTATGTCACTTTCTCCACTATAGTTACTTCATTCTGCCTCGGTACTGTATTCTTTGCAAGAAGGCAAAGTGTGATGGCTAATCCCATTTACCCCACAGAGTCATCATTTTAAGTGTTCTTTCTTACATCTTAAGAAAAATTGTCTACAAATCAGTGCTCCCTACAAAAATTAAAAAAAAAATTATTTTCTTTAATATCTTCACGTCACCGATTCCTTGTAAGGACGGTTTCTGTATTGTGCTGATTGTTGGGTGAGTTTTGGTTCCTTCAGTTTTGAGGCAGTGGATTCAGAGATGCATAGAACGTCTGCAGTTTTTGCTGTTACTGGCTGCAAAATGCAGGGAGAGGCAAGATGCAAGGAATTATAATGATCGCTGCCTGATGTTCACCTGACAGTAGGGCAGTCGTCATTATTCTGTATGCACCCCGCGCTGTGCCTTGTTTTGGAACCATGTTTAATTTAATAAAGCTGCACAACACAAGGTGCTCTCTTCCGAGAAAGGGCTTGCAGGGAAAACATTTTAATGACTGTTGGATCATTCCACAAATGACTCATTCTAGATCACCTTTTGGTGGAAGGGGGTATATTTGTGAACTTAGCGCGGTGGACTATGTATTTTGAATACAGGTAAGCAGTAACAGTGCTGACAAGTACCAAGAAAGTGAAACGCCTAGGAGGTGAGAAACCAGAGTCTTTTGCTAGAGTCACCTTCCGGGAACAGAGCAGTACAGCGCAGCGTTCGCGGGGCCCTAGCGCCTCCTGTCGGCGAGGGCGCATACTGCCGTGTTGGGGGTCACACTTGCTTTTTAATTGACAAGTCGTGGAAAAAATGTTTTTTCTTTTTTCCAAAAATTGCACCAAGATAAAGCAGAGCTCTAGCTGATGCGAGCGTGTTGTGAGGCGTTAGCAGTACTGCCCTCGCTAAACGCTCATTGGACAGTAGCGCAACCCCAAGAAAAGGATGGTTGCCCGCGATTGGGCGTGCGCGGCGAGCCGGAAGCACCAATACCAGGTTAGGTTGTGGTGACTAATTCTCAAGTCCCGCCCTCGCCGCCCGGTAGCTCGTGTACCAATGCTCATCACAGCTCCCGAAGCACACCGCGAACTCCTCGTTTTCCGAGGCTTCTGAAGGTGGCATAGAGGCCTTTTGGTTTTACCCAAAAGACCTCGCGGCCGCTGCGAGATAATTTGCATACGCACAGCTCGCCGGGGCGGGGCTGGAAGGGGGCGGGGCCACGCGCGGTTCTCACACTCGCTGGCGGCGCCGGGGAGGTGGCCATGCTGTGTCTGCATTTTAACTCGTTTCTGGTCGCTGACTTTTCTGTGTTAAAATCGTGAACAGCCCTTTGCGTGGGGGAGCAGGCCCCTCCAGATGGCCAGTTCAGCTTCCTCAGCCGCAGGCTTCCCCGGTGCTCGCAGACAACGTCTGAGCCAGAAATGTGGGGGCCCCTTGGGAGCTGGGGGTCGAGAGCTCGGGCCCCCCGGCCTGCCTCTCACCGCCCCCCTGGTATTTACCATTGCAGGTGGTTCTTCTGGGCATGGACATCCTGTCGGCGCTGGTCACCCGGCTGCAGGATCGGTTCAAGGCGCAGATCGGCACAGGTGAGCTGGGGTCGGTGTGGAGCTGCCCCCGGACTCCCCACCCTCCCACCCCTCTGTTTCCCCGGACTCCCCAGATCCTTCACTTAACTGCATCTGACCCTCCCAGCCAGCCCTCCTGCTTTCCCTTCCCAGCCACCCAGCCAGGGCTCCTTTCAGGCTTCCCTCGCTGGGAAGGGCCACTCCCCCTCTCCCCCAAGCTCTCCAGGCTCCCCCAGATCCGCTGGCCTCTCTGCACCTGCTGGCATCACACACCCTCACAAGCAAACAAACCAACCAACAACCTTTTCTTTTGCCTTCTCCGAATGTTGTGTTCTAATATGATGTATTGCTGCTAATTCTTTTTTTATACAGCTTAGCTGTCACAGTTCAGGTGCCGGCCAAGTCATATTTGTTCCTGACACTCCCTTTGGAGACACACTTTCTGGGAGAAGTCCTGAAAATCCCATGAAGCTGTATTTTCCCCAGATTATTGTTGGCGTTTTTTTCACTTTGATTGGAAATGTCATTGTAAGAGTGAATGCTCACTCTTATTTTGAAGGGAAACTGTCAGCAAAATGAATAGAAATAGCTTCAGTTTTCATAGGTGAGATGATTTAGGTCATCTCTAAAGTCCTGGCTTCTGAGATTTCATAATGATAATGGAAATAGCAGGCAGCTGTGTGTGTGCAGGCGTTTCCCTCTAGAATTTCTGCTTTTCAGTACATACATGTGTGCTTGTTTTTTTCTGTTAACTTTCTGGTCAGTCAGTGCACCCCTTCAGATAAACTCATGAACTCTTTTCCCTTACTGGCACTATCTTCAAATAAAGTCTCCCTTGTTTTCAGGAATTTGTTATTTTAATAGTATTCCATTTTCCTCTTAAGTTAGCTGAATTGCTCACTCAGGATATTTCTTATAAAAGAAAGATTTCTAGACCCTTAGAAGTAGCAAAGTAAGCTGACCTCTGCTGTGCAAGTGCCCTTGAAGCTCTAGCCGATGGTCCTCAGCCCAGAGTGTGGAGGAAGAGTGAAGAGCAGGGTTCCGCCTGATGTGTGTGTATGTGTGTGATGTGAAATTAAAAACATGCAGGGTGGATGAAAGATAGATTGAACCATAGTGCCCACCCCTTCAGCCCACAAGCAACTATGCTGAAGGCCCTGTCTCTTACCTAATTTCCTTTTGTGTTGACCCTTGCTGCCAAGGTCTTCTATCGATATATAGTTGAATAATATTTCATCTGCTTAAAAATCTGTTGGGAGCTGGCTAGAGGAAGGCGGCGTAAGGAAGAAGACACACTGTATGTATGCCTATGCAGAGGATTTTGCAGATCCTTATAGTAACTCCTGTGGATTTTAGCAAGGAAAATAGAACTGTAGAATTTGAGAATGATATACAGCACTTAGACCAGGATTTTGTCTTTTCAGGTACTGAAATTGCAGGACCCCCCCCCACCCCCCCCCCCCCCCCCCCCGCCATGGATTTTTATTTGATTGGTTTCCTTTTGCTTTCCAGTGCTGCCAAGTTTAATAGACAGACTGGGAGATGCTAAAGACTCAGTGAGGGAGCAAGACCAAACTCTGCTGCTGAAGATCATGGATCAAGCTGCTAATCCTCAGGTAGGGCCGAGAAATTGCTCTGCAGCTGGCAGGTGTCTTGGCACCCGCGTCCACCTGTGGAGACGCCGTTGAGAAAGACTTCATTTCTTTCAAGCTGATGTGTTACAGAGAAATTTTCATAGCATTTAATCTGTGAACCTCTCCTCCTCCACACAGGATATTTAAATAAGGAACAGAGAGCAAAGGGTTTACTTTGACTAAATGAGTGGACATAAACCAAGTTTTGTGTGCTTGGTTTAATCCATCAGATTCCTGAGTTCATTTAGGTCACTGACTCTCCACATCTCTGAAAAGAGGCAGCCTTGGCATCTGGGGAGTCAGGATCTCTGGTTGGGGCCCTCATCCCTGTCTGGGAGGGATAGACAGAGGGATACAACTCTGCCTTCTAGGGTCCAGCTGGAAGTGGATGGGAAGTGTAGTCAGAAAACACTTTCCCAGAGAAGGTAAAACTTAGACTTATCTGAAAGGATGAGCGGATGTTGGCGTTTTGGAGGAAGCGGACATCACTGTAGGCAGAGAGAACAGTCTGAGTAGCTAACCTTGGCCGGTCCCTAACCGCCTTCATTGTTACGCTGCTCACCCATAATAAAATAGGGACAATCACCCCTCACTTTCAGGCTTGAAAGAGAATTAAATGAGATAATATGTTTTGAAACATATTCAAAATGTTTTGAAAATTTTAAGTTGATATATAAATAATAGAGCACATTTTCAGTGTGCTCTGGGGAGGATGAAGTGCCTCAGCAGGGGCTGACTCATTTCGTACCAGAGACATTACTGGCCCTGGGTGAAAGGAAGGACCAGCGAAGCCTCCCCCTCCCCTTTTCACTGTTCTTTGTCTCTACAGTATGTCTGGGACCGAATGCTGGGAGGCTTCAAGCACAAGAATTTCCGGACTCGGGAAGGCACCTGTCTCTGCCTGGTCGCCACACTCAACGCGTAAGTCTAGACGGGCCCAGAGGGTTTTCTTGGCTCAGCTCTCCTATTTTTAACTTTTACTTTTGAAATACTTAGAGATTTATAGGAAGTTGCAGAGAAAAGTGCTGGAAGGGCTGCTGCTCACCCCTCAGCATGTCCTGTTCCTCCCCACCTCATGCAAACATTGTGCCACTGTGTGACATCTGATGTCTCTGTAGCTGAATGTCACTATCAGGAAATGGGTGTTGATATATTCCACAGAGCCTGTTCAGACCTTCCCTAGCACACACATTTGTGCGTGCGTGTGTGTGTCTGTGTGGCTTTGCCCGTGTGCAGTTCTATTACTTGCCTAGCTCCTTGTAACAGGACTGTGACCATAGTCAAGGTTATAGACCTGCACATCACCCCTGGCTCCCACGATGCCCCTTTAGAGCTAGGCCCTAATCCCGGACCACCACTAATCTCTTCTGCATCTCTATGATTTTGTTGTTTTGAGGATGCTGTATCATTTAAATCATATGGAATAGCACCCTTTTAAGATTGGCTTTTTTTACTCAGCAGAATTTTCTTGAGTTTGCATCTATGCGGTTGCCTGCACAGTAGTCCATTCCTTCTTGTTGCCGAATCTTCTGCAGCCATTTTATCAGAGTCTTTCATTTAGCAGTTGACTTAATGTCTGTGGTTGCAGAGCTGTGCACAGATGCAGAATGCAGTGAGACCCCACAGAGGTCTTGCAGTTTAGTTGGATAGATCGAGTTGGGTGAAATAGGAAGCATTATGTGATAAAACAGCAATTCCGAGACAGCCCGATGTGGGAATGGCTGGGATTTAGAGAGAACCCAGTGCAAGGATGAAGTACTTACTATAGGTTTTGAACTCTGCAAGGGCTCATGGTGTGTTTCTTTTGGAAACATCTAGGAAGGAGAGAGCCTTGGTAGGAGGCAGGGATGAGGCCCAGAGATGGAGAGAAAGGGTGAGTGTGGGCAGAGGAGGTGTCTTTCTTTTTCCTGTTCCCCAGTAATAAAACACTCCTTTTGTTTGCAGCTCCGGAGCACACACTTTAACACTAAACAAGATTGTGCCACATATATGTAACTTACTTGGAGATCCAAACAGCCAGGTGAGTGCATTTTAGTGAGGTCAAAAAACACCAACTGTAGACAATTAAGATGCATTTTCATGTTTTGTGCAGGCCTGGTAGGTGGGTGGGACCTTATTCATCCTTCCAGAGCACTGATTATTACTAAAGTTAGCTGCCCGTTAGACTGCTGAGATACCATGGGTAAGTGTGGTGGCCACTGTTTCCTCTCTCCATAGCCTGTAAGGTGAGCTCATCCAGACCATCGCCAAGATACCGCACTGATCACCATGTTTGCAGCCAAAAGGGAGAGTAGAGTAGTCAGTGCTGAATGCAGTCAGACAGTGGTTCTTACCTCTCAGGGTGGGGGTAGAATGATTGGAGTGCCCTAAGGGAAGTTTTCTGAGGTAATGGTCATTTTTCATAGTTTGCTTGAGGTAGTGGTCACACTGACGTGTAGCACTGTGGAAACTTCTGAAACTCAACGCTTACGATCTCTGCATGTCAAATTTATGTAACCTTTGTCTAAATTAAAAATAAAAACGAAAACATCAAGGATTACCACTTCCTCAATGTGAGGGTGAGAGAGGAGTTGGTCGTCTGTGAGGGTCTCCAGGTGGGCTTGAAGTGTTGCTTCTCTCAGTTCTGATGATCAGTCATCAGTTTTATTCTATGAGCTCCTATTACTGAGAAGAAAAACACTTCATGATGTCAAGGAGCCCGAAGCTGGGACAATAATTTACAAAGGAAATACAGATGGTAGACAAGCATCTCATTTCGAGTGCTGAGTGCCCCCCAGAGAGGCGGCCCACTTTCCGTTGCCCCTTCCAGCCTTGGGCCCCTCCAGTCTGAGCCCTGCCGCCTCACCCTTCTGTGTCTGTGCCCTTGAGCCCAGTTGTGTTTCTCACCCTCTCTGGCTCTGTTCTGCTGCTGCCCTTTCCTGACCCAGCTCTCTCCTGCTGCTGTTTTCTTGGTCTCCTTGGCTTGCTATCTCCTCCTGTCCACGTAGTCTCTTAGCCAGCTTTCCTAAAAAGTGTATGACATCTGAAATGTAAATTTTTAGGTATTTTCATTCATGGAGTAAGACATACTTGGTCTTCAATGTTAATTAAAAAAAAAAACTATTAAAAATGATTTTAAATTACCAAATTGAATATTTTGCCTTTTCCCCCCTATTGGTCTTGTCGCCATTTTTGTTTTCTGTTTGAAAAAAAAAAATTTGTGGGCCTCCCTGGTGGCACAAGGGGTTAAGCACAGCACTATGAAGGTAATGGCAGCCTCTGCAGCACAAGTTCGATCCCCAGCCAGGGAGCTACCCACATGGCGCGGCAGACCTCTCCTGTCTTGCCTGCTGCTCCCCTCAGCAGTGTGTTTCAGTCAGTCTGCCTGTTCTGTTCCCTGCTCTGTCTCTGGTGAATCCTCTCACCCCCTGCACCTCTGGCCTGCACCCCAGCTCTTATATGCATAAATAAATAAAATAAATCTTCAAAAAAATTCTTTATAGAGGTCATCCTTTAAGGCTACCACAGGGCGTCTTTTAGTAGAACAGAAAGGCCAGCTTGGCTAGTTGGTTATTTGCTCCTCATTCAGGTGCCTGCACTGGCCAGGCAGGTGGTAGGAATAGTCACGCTCGCCTGTGGGAGACAGCACTGGGCTTGAAATGAGCTTGGTGCTTGGTGGGCATCTTTCACTATTCCTCGAGCTATAGTAAGGAGTATATGTAGCCAGAATTCTACACTGAGCACTCGGAAGATAATCCAGATGTTCACATCTCCTGTAGGAATATTCCTGGAGTGTACGTTGGCACAAGCACACACGACCCACACCTCCCAGAATCCTTGCACCATCTGCTTCTCTGATATTAATCTAGTTATTTATTCCTCCTCCTCAGGTGCATGTGCTTTTGTTCTTGGGTGTATTTTAATTTTTCCCTCGATTGTAAATGCTGGCTTCTGAGCCTTGAAGCTCAGGACTGTCACTTGTTCCTCTTAATTCTCCCAGGACTGCCTTCTAGTGCATTTGGGATTGAGTAGATACGCAGACTTGTTTAAATGATTTTCTCTGTGTGGCTGTTTGCCTCTCAGGCCAGGCGGACGGCACTCCTGCCACTACTGTTGTGCTCCATGCCTGAGGCTGTACTCCCATTCTCCACAGCCTCATGTGCACAGTGCTCTCCCAGCTCTGCAGGCTGCCCCTGACATTGACTGCATTGCATTTAAAGTCAACTCTGACAACACTCCTGCCTTAGAGGATGGAAAATATTTTTGCATTGGTCTTACAGGAGGGGAAGCCCCTGAGAATCTCAGAGTGCCCACATATACGGAATGTGTGGACTAGAGGCTTTTGGCCTGAAAATCCAGTTCAGAATTGTGATAGCCATGGAGCAAATGTATTGGCCCATGTAAAGACCAGTACTAAAGTGGGAAGACTCCAGGTTTGCTGGCAACCAGGCCAGTGCTATCTCCAGAGACTTACTAACCTTGTACTGCCTGTCTGTTTCTTCTTGGCTGTCCTGGTGCATGCTGTCAGCACTGTGCAGCACCAGGCAGGCTTGGGGGCTGAGAGCCGGGGTTTACTGTGTTCTTCTCCTGTTTCCAGCTTTTCCTTATCAAGAGCTTCAGACTTATATAGTAGTGAGAATGACATAATGTATCCCCATGTCCACTCTCCAGCTCCAGCAACAAGATAAAGCTGATTTAGTGCCACCTATTATTCCTCCCCAGCCCATTATTTTGAAACAAAGCTGAGATCATGTTGAAGCAAATCTTAGACATTTCACTTAATACTTAAATACACTAGGAGATATACCCAGTTGCTGTTTACTTTTCCCTAAGTGTCTTGTGTTTTTAAGAGTTCTTTTTGTTTCTCTTTCCAAAAGTAATTTTCCAGAAGCTTTTTTGTGGTCCTCCATTGCATCCCATGGACCTGTCCAACTGAGTCACTGGGAAGGGACTAGGATTGTGTGGTGGCTGTGCACTGAGGACATTTGGCCTCTGACTTGAGCTGGATTCCAGATAAGGCCTGTGCTTGTGGACAAGGAGGATGGGGCAGCCAGCAGTCTGAGACTTCCCACGTAACAGGAAGTCCTTTTGCTAGACAATAGCAACTCCAGTTCTGCCTGAAAACCTTTGATTTCATCTCTGTACTTCCTCAGCTAGCCGAGGGCAGTCAGTCAGGATTGCATCCTTAGCTGAGTTAGGTACACATCTTTAAAGTCCAGAAACATCGTAAAGTGTCTGGGGACTGCTGTTTATCTTAGTGTTCTCTGCAGCTGGACCTATGCTGTGCTAATAGTGCTCAGAAGTGTGGCAGGAGCACATCTGTTGAGGGCCTGGCCCCTGGAGGAGGGAGGTGGACTTCGGGCCAGGTGGCTGTGTAGGAGGATGCCCTGGTAAGCGGGCAGGTCTTGCCCCCACTCTCTCAGGCAGGCTGGCTGCAGACGGTGCCGCTGCTGTAGGGGGACAGCGCAGGGCAGGGCATGCTTCCCACCAGTTCACAGCTGACCCCCACCCAGAGTGAGCCCTCCTTCGAGTACTTGTTGCAAACTCTCAATTTGACACCCATGTTGGAATGTGGGTGGTGCAGCGAGAAGAGTGTGGGCCTGCATTCAGGCAGATGGAAGTTCAGGGCTTCCCTCTGCCGCTCATCTGCTGTGGGCCCCGGAAGGGGGCAGCTCACCAGCCTTCACACCGCCTCTGTGTCACAGTAAACAGTGGCCCAGTGGCGAAGATCATAGACCTGAAGCTCATGGGCCTTATAAGCATTGAGCTCAGACCCGACAGGGTGTGCCTAGTCTGTGTGGCGCTTGTCTTCTGTAGTCCTGATGGCCTGAAACATTGGCTTCCTTTTTCTGGTGAGTCTGGGGGCAGCAGAGGCCTTGTGGGACCCATGTAAACACTACATTGACCCTGCAACCTGAGCTGAGCTATATTTACTGAAACTTCCCTTCTCAATAGGAAATTTGTAGTACCAAGGAAAATCTTTTTTTCTTAACTCAAGGGTGGTTTAGACCCTCCAATGCCTTCTGGACCCTACAGTTTCCTAACCCTGAGGGATGATTATTTTAAAGGCTAAGAATGTATGTTAGGGCCTCCCCGGTGGCGCAGCGGTTGAGCGCTGGGTTGCGAGGCTGCCCGCGGCCTCTGCGGCGCCGGTTCGATCCCCGGCTGCTCCCTGGCCACCGGAGGAGGGTCCCACATGGCGCGCAGACCTCTCCTGCCGCCCGCTGCTCCCCTCAGCAGTGTATTTCGTCAGTCTGCCTGCTCTGCTCCCCGCTCTGGCTCTGGTGCATTCTCTCACCCTCCCACGCTTCTGACTGTACCCAGTGCATGTATAAACAAACAAACAAACAAACAAATAAATAAATAAAGCATGCCTCTATTAAAAAAAAAAAAAGAATGTATGTTAAATGAGGTAGATGACACTGCTTCCACCAGCCACCGTGTCAAGTGCTTTATACATACAAACTGCAGGCTTGGAGGCTAATTTTACTTACAGTTTAGTGAGTGTGCATGTGTACTTGTGTTTGTAGGTATTTTAATTTCACAATTAGAGTTGAGATATTTTATATTTGGGAGGTTTGTATTTCTGACTTTCCTGGAAAGAATAGAAGATACGGCAAAGCTGTGCTGCAGTCCTCTGTGGCTGGGCAATGGCCTGTTTGCTGCACCTATGTGTCCCCTTTTCTCTCTGCCAGTGGGGCCCCACACCAGGCCATTTGCCATCCTAAACTCACCTTGCTCTATTCCTTTACTCCGTCACCTACCTGGACGTGCAGGTGCTTGCTCAAGGATTTGTTGAATGAATTCATTATTTATTTCAGTCTTCAATCAGTGTTCAACTTTACGGAGAAGGAAATTGAGACTAAAGAGTTTAAAGACTTGGAGGCTACATCTCGAGCTTTCAAGCTATCACCAGCCACTGCGGCATGAGTTCAATCCTTGGCCCACCTGGCACAGCAGCCCTCTCCTGCCTTGCTTGCTGCTCCCCTCAGCAGTGTAGTTCAGTGCTTCTCCCTGTTATGCTCCCCACTCTGTCTCTGGTGAATCCTCTCGCCTCTTCCCCGTCTCCCCCCCGCACCTCTGGGCTACACCTCAGTTCTTGTATGCATAAATAAATAAAGTAAATCTTTGAAAAAAAGAAGAGCTTAAAGACTTTGTCCAAGGTTACATAGCTCCTGAATGGCCAAGTGGTTCTCAGGTTCACTTCTTTGGCTCTAAAGCTAGTAACTTTCCCGCTAAATGTATTCAGCTCTTCATCACCCAGAGTTTCTGCATAACGGACAGAATATTGATTGCTCGTTGAGATGATCACTCAGGGTGATCGGTTGGGAGCAAAAGTCATCACTAGAAATTAGGCACAGGTGATTCTCTTAATACTATTTTTCAGGACACTGTAGGATCGATTACTTTTTGATGATGTAGGCAGGTATCAATAGAAAAATGTTTCCTAACATCTGAAATATTTCTTTTCTAAAATAAACTTATAATGTGAGTCAAGTTGGGCTGCCATAAACTGATACCCAAACCATGGAAATATATTGCTTATGGCTCTGCAAGTGTGAGGGTCAGGGCGCCAGCAAGGATGGGGTCTGGTGAGGAGATGGCCTCCCTTATCTGCGTGCTCACCTGGCCTCTGTGTGCTTACGTAGAGAATGGACCGAGCTCTTTGGTATCTTTTCTTCGAAAAGCAGAAATCTCATCATATCACAGCCCCGCTCCTAGGACCTCATTTAATCTCAGTTATCTTCTTAAAAGGTAACTGTCTATAAATACATTCACACTGGGGTTAGGGTTTTAACATGCACTTGGCACTTGGGAGATATAGTTCAGTTCAAAATATACAGTTTGTATGAGAAGATAAGGCCTCGGATTTGCTTTTTTCCACCATATTAGGAATAATAAATAAAATTACCTGTTATATAATACAGTTAAATCAAAGGGTAGCCTCCTGTATTCAGAATTATAAATTTTTATTTGTATCTTTTATTCCTTCCTCTCCTTCACTCTCTTTGATTTCATTGCTCAAGAACAAATCTAAAATCATGTTTTACCTCTATACTATTAAATTAAGTACACATCTCTTCCCATCCTGACTCTTTGTACCTGTCACAGACTGGCATTGGTTCCATTGTGTACTTAAATTTTCATCCCACCTTTTTATTTGCGAGTTTTTAAACCTTTGGAAAAAAATTCAGAGTAGGGCCTCCCCGGTGGCGCAGCGGTTGAGCGCTGGGTTTCAAAGCTGCCTGCGGCCTCTGCAGCGCCGGTTCGATCCCCGGCTGCTCCCCGGCCACTGGAGGAGAGTCCCGCATGGCGCGCAGACCTCTCCTGCCGCCCGCTGCTCCCCTCAGCAGTGTACTTCGGTCCTTCTGCCTGCTCTGCTCCCCGCTCTGGCTCTGGTGAATCCTCTCACCCTCCCGCGCTTCTGACTGTACTCAGTGCTACTTTGTGTAAACAAAACAAACAAACAAACAAAGAAAACATGCCTCTATTAAAAAAAAAAAAAAAAAATTCAGAGTAATATAATGATTACCCATGTGTACTAGTTGTCATTCTGTCATATTTGTTTTCTATCTTTCTTATATACACGTGTGCTTTTCCCCCTTACACCATTTGAAAATATATTGGTCATATTTTTGCTCCTAGATGCTTCCTTATGTATCTCCTAATAACAAGAATATTTTCTTAATCATGTCATTTTCACATTTAAGAAATTTGACTTTGATACAGTGATAATACTTGATGCAGTTTAAATTTAAATTTCCCCCAATTTTTTCTTTTTCTTTTTCTTTTGTTTTGATCCTGTCTCTTAGGCCTCATTTACTGCCTCTTAGTTCATATTTGTGTTTGGCCAGACTGCTTGCCTGCTCCTCCTGAAGCATATGCCCTGCTTCTCTGCTTTCACTCCTTTGCACAGGCCTACCTTGTTTGGAACCTGTCTCATCCCATCTTTACCTGGTAAAAGGCTGTTCTTCTAAGCACATTATAAGTGGTTCCTTCTTCTTCATAAAATGTTTTTTGGTGTCCTCCAGTGTGCTTGCTCCCTTCCCTAAACTGAACTCTTTGTGTTCTGTAAAGCATTTATTATATCCTGCTCCGTATTTACTCTAGAATTCATGGACATACTCCTCCCCACCTCCTGTTTTTGGAACTTGTTGAATAATAGTGTAGTCTACAGTACCCATTCTTTTTTTTCTCACTACTATTTTATTTATTTAAATACACAATGCTTTACATGTTTCATTTTTGTATAATACATTTATTTGTAGCATTTTCTGTTTTGGGAAGATGTTCTAAAAATCCTAGTATCGTGACATCATCTTAAAGAATGGAAAGAACTAAGGGATATGGATTTTTACAAGTGTGCAGGGGTGCAACCTGAATTTTTTCGACTCTTTGGAATTGTGTCTGGAGTTAAAACTATCACACATGGCCTGATCTAGTCAAATGCCTAAGGGGTTATATTCACAGTTGCATTGGTAAATTGGTGATAAATTTGGGGTGCTGTGTAGCCTATTGTGTCCCAGCAGGAAGTGCTGTGGACTGACACAGAGCAGCTGTAAGCTCTCTTCTTTTACATCTAGGTTCGAGATGCAGCAATAAACAGCTTAGTGGAAATTTACAGACATGTAGGAGAACGTGTGAGGGCAGATCTCAGTAAAAAAGGATTGCCACAGTCTCGGTGAGTTTGGACTTTTTCCTTTTCTCCTGCTCTTCCCATGCCCCTACCCCCTACCCCCTGACTCTTTTTCAGCTAACATCTTTGATTGTACTACTCATTTTGTTGTGGTAATTTTATTCCAAGAATGTATGGTTAGAGGATTGGTGGTTGGAGATCTTGACCAAAGCAAATATCCAGGGACTCGTTACTCCCCATTCTGCTTCCTCCGAAGAAAGACTGTCTCTCTCACCCTGACACTAGCCATGTCCCTTGACATATTTTCAGCATCCGTGAGCCTGTATAATAAAGTGATTGGTGTTGAAAAATTCAGCATTCTTAAGTCCTTATGGTTCTTTATCTTGTAAACACATAGTACCTGTTGTAGTAGCTTAGAATATATTTGAATGAAGTGTTTCTGGAATGGGTCTGGATAGAAATATATAACTAGTAATTCTGAAAAACATCTTTGAAACACCAATTTTCTATTCATTGAGACCAGTCTCCATGCATGGAAGCCAAAATAAGGGAATCAGCATTTTGTCAGATCTAAGCCAACTTGAGTCTACAAATGTCTTTCTTGTCAGAATTTTAAAAATAATGATCAGCTTTCTATAGCTTACACTATGATGGAGAAACCTTACACTGAATTAGTGTTCGCCCCACCCCATTCCCTTAAGGGAGAAAGTGGTGTGAAAGTCCTGGGAAGTCAGACCTCAGCAGGACCTGGGGCAGCTCCTCTCGGCTTCCTCCTTGTCCCTGGAAACAGCACAGCAGGTCACTCTCTAGTGCCTTGAGAGATCAGATAGTGAGAGTCGGCGCTAAGACAGAGCCCCACTCTTCTGACTCGCCTCGTAATTTTCTCTACCCCATTTCGCAGGAGAGTTTCCAGAGTGTTGGGTGTCTACAATAAATATGCGATGGAGGATTGAAATACACAGGAGCCTTGGTCTTTACCTCCCTTCGTAGGGCAGCACAGCAGCCGGCCCTGTAATAGGGGTTTGGTGAGCAGGTGTGTGAGGCAACTTTTTATTGTCAAGAGTCATAGCCGACCCCTGTGTTGCTTTCGCCTTGGCCCCTGTGCTGTGTACACGTGACAGATGAGAATAAAACTACTTGTCATGTTTTACAAGAGATACTCTTTAAGAACCGAGTGGTTTTTTTTTTTCAGTCCTATGTTTTATAAACCTCAGCCTTCTGGTCTTGAACACTTAGGAGAAAGGCAAAAGTAACTAAACATTTTCTCAGGAAAAATTGGAGGGTCCAGATAAGCGTGCAGAGCAGGGCCGGAGGGAGAGGACTTTTGATAATGAAGTCCTCATCACTGTCGTGCAAGTAGATATTGAGCAGTGAAACCTCCTGCTCTAAGGATGCCCTGGCCATGCGCTTTAGTTCACAGCCCTCAGCCATGAATGGACCCTCTCACTCAGTAGGATTCCTATGTAATATTTGAAGCAAGCTAATCACTTGGGGGAAATGACATGACGAAACTGAGATCTAGAGAGGTGAGTACCAAAAAGAGCTAATACAGAAGGTTCGAGACAGCTGTCCTCGGGCCTGCTTGCAGGTTTGGCCCTGGTGTGGTGTCTGGGAAGTTGAATTTGGGGAGGGTTCCTACCACTCCCAAAGAGTAAGTTCAGAGTGGCCCAGTGTGCCACACTATGCAGATGTTACGCTGAAGTCTTGCTTTCCTCTGGGAGTCTAGCATTTTGGTGTTGAAGCAGAGGGGATCCCCAGTAAAATCCTGAACACTGAGACTTCTCCACCTTCCCTGGTAGGCAGTGTTGTCACCACCTCTCCCCACTCCACCAGGAGAAACTAGGAAACTGGTTTCCTCTGGACTTCAGCTCACACACCTTTTCCCTTTGCACATTTTTCTTTTGCTCTAATAGTCATACGTGTGAGTGTGAATACACATGGAGTCCTGTGAGTTCTCCTAATGAATCACTAAACTGGGAGGTGGTCTTGGGAACCCCCAACACAGAAGGTGAATTGGGTAAGGAACCAGAGGCAGTTGGTGCTAGAGCTGGGTTTAGAATCTTCTAGACTTGCAGCAATGTTCCCAGTTCTTTCTGTACCACCTTCCTTAAAAAAAAAAAAAAAAAAAAGTGTATTGAAAATAAACTATTACAAAGTTTGGGTCTCTGCAAATAGGAATGAGAATTTTTGCCATTTCATGTTACCTAAACTCCTGAACAATTTTAGAGCAATGGAGTGAGTGAGTGTAGAGAAATGGACCCAAATCCTCTACAACCATTGTTGCGAAGCTTTGGCAGACATGATGCTTGGAGAGCTGGGCTGTTCATTCCTTAAAACTATACTCTAGTCAAAGGAGCCAGAACTTCAAGTTTCTTTATATTTATCACAAGATAGTTACCCACAGTGTAACACTATGAGGGTCAGTCTCAGACTGTCCACCTAATTTTGTCAAGTATGTGTCCAAATGGAATAGACTTTCAAAGAATCACACCTTTGTTGGGGGAAATTCAGTATCTACTATATGTGATTCTCAGTGGCAAAGTGGAATTCTTGAATATTCTAGATTCTGTTACATTATTATAGATCTTTTGGTGATTGTAGATTGTCATGTGAGTACAGAATTTTCATTTCAGCAAGATTCTATGATACTGGTAAAATATTGTAGAATTTGCTTAATGCTCTCTGAAACCTGGATTTAGTCCTGGAATAAAAGTGTCCTCTTAAGAGTTTTTTCGTTGAGTGAATTTTATCTTTGACAAGATTAATTGTATCTCTAAGAAATACACGACGAAAAATAATATTGTAATATCAGCTAAAATGCCTTAAATGACAGGAGTAACCCCCTTCTTTGACCAGTAGTTTTCTATGACCATTTCACAGTTGGGAAAAGAGACTTGTGCATTCATCAGCTTCATTTCGGAAGAGCTGGAATTATTCTTTTGGGTCATGTGTTGTGATTTCAGTCTTGCATCTGGTGGTTAAAATCACATGGAGCCGGATCATAAAGTGGAGACGCTACAAAATCTTGTTACAGGCTTTCTCCACCCACACATCTTCTTGGCCTAGCTGAGCTGCAAGCTTCAGCAGCATAGTAGTTGGTCATTTTACATTTATGATTTAACATCTATTTGCACTTAAAACATTTAGCATGTATAGTTTTCACAGTTCATGCACATTTGGAAAGTAAGTACACAACTTTGAGCCATTGTAAGGGGTCATAGTTGTGTATCTGTGATGCCTGCTTGCCACCTCAGTGTCATGTCACTAGATCATCTTCTAGTGACCTTCATGGCTTCTTTTTGAAGACTTACACCTTCAGCATGTTTTGACATTCACCGACAACTCATTGTGTATCACAGAAAACATTTTTCATGATGTACATTTTGGATTGCAAAGTTTTAGCAAAAAGGCCACTGATGTTAAATTTCTAGGATCATTTGGGAACCAAGCTGTTTAAGAGCAGCTGCTTTAAACCTAAAGATAATTTATAGATAGAACGGATACATGCCATTGATGCATTGTAACTATTTGGCAAGTTTACCTTGTGATTCTTGACAGTTTTGAAAAGATCTCATAATAATTCAGCTATATCAACCTGTTTAAAAGGTATAAATGTTGACTGTAGATGTGTAAATGCTTGTTTGTCAAGGGGCAAATTGAAACTTTTAAATTTAATGTGCTTAATAAATTTCTCGTGTAACAGAGGACCAAAGTGGAAGCATATGAGGAAAGTACTCTCTCATTTTAATATTTTATTTTTTTGTCATTTATACAGAGATAGTTGACTTGATAAGATGCATTGAAAAATCAATCTTTATCCCATATGCTGTTAAGTATTTTCATTGATTTTTTTTGTCACTATAAAAATTTTACTTTCCATTATGAAGGGTGAATTTCCGTTGTCTTTTCTCCTAAATTTCCCCAGGTGTACCTACTATCTCTGTATCCACCAAATATAGTCATTTTTAAATTTTGAACTGTGTTTGCTATTCACAGCTCATTGTAGTTGAACTGAGTACTTTTTTCCCCATAATCTTTGACGTTAATAATTGTCTTACTTTGCTTTGTATGTATTTGCATACTTATGTATAGTGTTGCCTATGTACTGCTGGTTTGTGTAAGTCTCTTGAGCCTGTTCTAGTCTGTACTAGCTGCCTTCACTGCCTTCTAACACCCTCCTGCCATCTCTCTTTAGCATCCTCCTGGACTTTATCTTTGTCTGCAGGTGGATCTTTCTTAGTTTTTTCTCTCATTTTAGCTTGTGTATCCTTCAGTAGCTTTCTGAGAACAGAGGTAGAGAAGGAGCGTTTTCTTGAGTTTGAGAATATCTCTATCTCTAGACTGACATTTTGTCAGGATTTAGAAATCTGGATTAGAAATCATTTTCATCCAGAATGTTAAAACTGCTGACCCATTGTGTTTGGGCTGTCATTGCGGTTGTTGGGAAATGCAAAGTCATTCTGATTCGTCATCCTTTGTAGATAACTGATTCTCTGAAACTTTGACATGATAGGTCTTACATGAATTTATTTTCATTTCTTGAAGGGCCTTTCAATCTGGAACCTCTTGTTTCATCTGGGAAGTTTTTCCTAAAAATACATTATGACTGCTTGGACAAGTCTTTTGATTTTCTTTTTTTTTTTCCTCTCCCATTTATAGGTTCACAATTTAGCTGTCTTCTGGAAGAACTTCTCAAATTTATCTCCCAACCCTTTTATTGGGTACTTGACTTATAAAGTTTTCCTTTCTTTTTTTTTTTTTTAACTGTATATTCCCTTTTATAGCATTATTTCCCTTTTTTGCTTCTTGAAATAGACTTCATAATTTCACCTTTTAAAATGAACAGTTGAGTGCTTTTTAGTATATTCACAAAGTTCTGCAGCCCTCAGTACTATCTTGTTTTAGGGCATTTCATCACCCCAAAAGTAACCCAGTATCTATTAGCAGTCACTCCCCACGTCTTCCTCCCTTCTTACCCCTGGCATCCACTGGTCTTTTTATTTCTATGGACTTATCTACTTGGGACATTTCCTGCAAATAAACTC